GATTGAAAGGGACATCAGAAAATGGAAAAACATCTCCTGTTCCTAGCTGGGAAGAACCCACTATTTTTTTTTTTTCTTGAGAAAGGGTCTTGTTATGTGGGTCAGGCTGGCTTTGAACTCACTATGTAGTCTAGGCTTGCTTCAAATTCCTGGCAATCCTACTGCCTCACCCTCCCAAGTGTTGGAATTACAGGTATGTGCCACCACACCTGCCAGAAGCAATATTATCAAAATAGGCAATCAAAATACCAACATTATTCTTCACAGAACTAGAAAAAACAATCCTAAATTTTATTTGGAACCAGAAGAGACACAGAATAGCAAAAGCAATCCTGAGTGACAAGAGGAAAGCAGGAGACATCACAATCCTGGGTTTCAAGTTATATTACAAAGCTACAATGATAAAAACAACATGGTACTGACACAAAAATAGACATGTTGATCATTGGAATAGAAATGAGGATGCAGGAAAAAACCCCAACATTTTTAACCATCTAGTCTTCAACAAAAGGGCCAAAAACATATGCTAAAATTAAAATAAAGATAATCTCTTTAACAAATAGTGCTGAGAAAACTGGTTATCTGTGTGCAGAAGACTGAATCTTTCTCTCATCCTGCACTAAAGTCAAATAAAATCAAAATGGATCAAAGACTTCTATATAAGAATAGAAATGGGCTGGGGATTTAGATCAGTGGTTCCACCGCCTGCCTCAAAAAAAAAAAAAAAAAAAAGAAACAATAAATCTTTTGGAAGAAAAAAATGGTAAAATTCTTGAAAGGATAGGCAAGGACTTCCTAAATAGAACTCCAGTTGCACAAGAAATAACACCAAGAATCAACAAATAGACTGTATCAAATTAAAAAGCTTTTGCATAGCAAAAGAAACAACCAACAGAGTGAAGAAACAACTTATAGAATGGGGAAAGAAATCGCCAGTTACTCCTCAGACAAAACTACTAATATCTAGATTATATGAAGAACTCAAAAAAAATTAGACCCCCCGAAACAAAAGATCCAATCAAAAGATGGGCAGTTGACATGAATAGGCACTTCTCAGAAGTACAAATGACCGATAAATATATGAAAAAAATGTTCAGCATCTTTGGCCTCCAGAGAAGTACAAATCAAAACAACACTGAGATTCCACTTTAGTCCAAAAAGAATGGCTATCATCACAAACTAAAAATAACAAATGCTAGTGGGGTTGAGAGGAAAAAGGAACCTTTCTACCTTGTTGGTGAGAATGTAATCTAGTGCAACCACTATGGAAATCAGTATGGAGATTCCTCAGAAAACTAAAAATAGAGATTCTGTATCCAGCTGTACCTCTTTCAGGTATCTTCCTACAAGACATCATATTACATATCCTTTTAAAGACATCATGTTACATATCCTTTTAAAGACATCATGGTACAGTGATACATGCATACCTTATTTTTATAGCAGCACAACTCATAGTAGCTGAACCTTGGAAGCAGCCTACATGCTCATCAACAGATGAATAGATAAAGAAAATGTGATATATATGTATACACAATGGAGTACTATCTAGCTATAAAGAAAGATAAATTTGATTCATTTGTAGGAAAATGGATGCACCTTGAGACTAAGTGAAATAAATCAGACACAGAAGGTTAAATATCACATGGTGGTTTCTTTTATATGAGAAACCCAAAGTAAAAATAATTTAGAAGCAAAATAAAAGATGACAGAAAACACGGAGATAGATTTTGTGCAGATGGGAAGGGGACAGGGGGATGGGAGGGAGAGGAAGAGAAGTACAAAGGATCAAGATTTGATATGCATATATATCAATCGCCCACGATGAATATATTTATTACATATCACAAACATATACTAATACCCTCACCTTTTTTTTTTTTTTGGTACCGGGGATTGAACTCGGGACCTTGTGCTTGTAAGGCAGGCATCAGAACCACTGAGCTAAATCCCTGGCCCACAAACATATACTAATAAAAAAAAGGGAGGCTGGGCATGGTGGTGCACACTTGTAATCTAAGCACTCCAGAGAATCTCTTCGAGTTTGAGGCCAGCCTGGGCTAGCTAGTGAGCTTAACCAGACTGAATTATATACCAAGATCCTGTCTCAAAAAAACAATAAAATTTAATTTAATTACACATTTAAAAAGGGAAGAAAAACAAATGAATAATCCTAAGAACTCTATGAATAGACAATATTACCATGTCCATTTTACATAGAACTCTGAGGACCAAAAAAATGTTAAGAAACTTTCTCTCAATCACATAACTAGTTCCTCCACCTGCCTCGCAAGCAGAAGGTCCAGAGTTCAATCCCCAGTACCAAAAAACAAACAACAACAACATAACTAGTTAGTAACAGCCAGGATTTATCTTTTGGGGTAAAAAAGGGAGAATATTTTATGATATCAGAATAGAGAAGGATTACTAAATAAGATAGAAGAGAAACTGGACTAGAAGATATTTGTACCATATAACAAAAGATTAGTACAGTGGAACCTCAGTTCATACACTTAATTCATTCCATGATTCTGGAAAAGATGGCCATGTTCATGTTCAAGGAGGAGAGATGGCCACAGTGTTTGTCATTTGATGCAGAGTTCACAAACAAAACCAAAATTCTGCGAAAGGCTTCTATTTGCAAACCAAATTGTCCACAAACAAAGGTTCATGAACCGAGGTAACACTGTATATAGAATATATATTTTAAAAATTCTTAAAATCAATAAGAAATGCACAAGTACCACAGTAGAAAAATGGGCTGGGCTGGGGCTGGGGCTGGGGTGTAACTCAGTGGTAGAGCACTTGCATAGCATGCATGAGGCCCTGGGTTTGATACCCAGCACTGAGGGCATGATATGGGGGAGCTTGCTAGGCATAGTGGCACACTTCTCTAATCCCAGCACTCTGGGAAGCTCAGGCAGGAGGATTCCGAGTTTGAGTCCAGCCTGGGCAACTTAGTGATCTGTCTCAAAAAATAAAAAGGTCTGGGAGTGTAGCTCAAAGTGAAGGCCCTGGGTTCCATTTCTTGTACTGCAAAATAAATAAATGAGTCCCTTATACACTGCCAAAAATTAGCACTCATAATCTTTTTCCTAGCATTGGGCTTTTACCAAAATAAGTGCATTGGGGAAAAGGAAATGATCAGATCTATTGGGAATTACACACTGGCTCTGAGCTGACACGAATTCCAGGAGGCCCATGATATTACTGTACCAGTCAGAGCAGGAGCTTATGGAGGTCACTTTAGCATTTTAGCACAGATCTAACTCACAATGGACCCAGTGGGCCCCCTAACTGATCATGTGATTATTTTTCCATTTCTAGAATGTGTAAGTGGAATAGATATTCTTTTTTTTTTTTGGTACCAGGGATAGAACTCGGGTCCTTGTGCTTGCGCAGCAGGTGGCAAAACTACTGAGCTAAATCCCTGGCCCTGGAATAGATATTCTAAGCAGCTGGTAGAATCCCTACATTGGTTCTCTGACCTGTGAAGTAAGGATTATTATGGTAGCAAGAGTCAAGAGGAGGGTCTAGAGATGTAGCTCAATAGGAGAGTGCATGCTAAGCATATGGAAGGCACAAGTTTAAATCCAGCACCTGAAAGAAGAATAGTCAAGTGGAAGCCACTAGAACATTAGAATTACTTCTACTTAAGAAAGTAGTAGGGGAGGGCCAGGGATTTAGCTCAGTGGTTCCGCTGCTGGCCTCACAAGTGCGAGGACCCAAGTTCGATCCCTGGTACCAAAAAAAAAAGAAAGTAGTAGCGGCTGGGGATTTAGCTCAGTGGTTCCACCGCCTGCCTCAAAGTGCAAGGTCCTGAGTTCAGTCCCCAGTACCAAAAAAAAAACAAAAACGAAAACAAGAAAGTAGTAGATCAAATGTGGAAATAAGGACTGAGATATATATATGGATGTTGGGAAATGGGAAGAAAGTGTTCAAATGGGAAGGGGAACAAGGGAGGAGGGAGGGAGAAAGGAAGGAAGGGACAAGAAAAAAAGTGAAAATAGAAGGAAAAAATGGAAACAAGCTTTTGTACATAGGGGAGGGGGCTTAAGGGGGGGAATAGGATAAAATAAAATAAAATGTATTAATTAAAAAAAAGAGGGCTGGGATTTGGCTCAGTGGTTCCACCTCTTGCCTCACAAGTGCAAGGTCCTGAGTTTGATCGCCAGTACCAAAAAAAAAAGAAAAGAAAAATAAAAAGTAGTAGATCAAAAGTAATACCATATTCCTGGAAGAACTGCTCAAATTAGTGGCACCATCAAGGTCTTGAAAGATGCAGGTGGATTCTATCAAATCTTCATTCATTTTGCCTATTTGGCTTGTACAGAAGACAGATGGATCTTCTAAAATGACAGTGTGATACTATAAGTTTAATGTGATGATGACTCCAATTGTATCTGTTATACCAGATATGATTTCACTGCTTGACCACATTGACACATACTTGGAACCTGGTATGCAGACATTGATCTAAAAAATGTCTTCTTCCCATTCCTGTCAATTCAGACCACCAAAAGCAGTTCAATTTTAGCTGGCAAGGTGAGCAGTATACCACTGTCCTACCTCAGAGGTATATCAACTTGTATACCAATTCTCTAGCCCTGTGTCATGATTAGTTCACAGGGATATTGATTACCTTTCCTTCTACAAGCTATCATGGTATCTGTTACATTTATGATATTATGCTAATTGAACCCAGTGAGAAAAAAATAGTAACTACTCTAGCCAGGCATGGTGGTGCATGTCTGTAATCCCAGCACTCAGAAGGTTGAGGCAGGAGGATTGCCCCAAGTTAAAGGCCAGCCTGGGGTCCATAGAGAGTTCAAGGCCAGCCTTAACAAAGTAAGACCCTGTCTCAAAAAAACAAAAACACACACACACAAAAGTCATGATCATATGTTTATGACCACAAGTTTACTTCCATTGGTCTAAACTCTTTTCAATAATTTAATCAAATTACATTCAAAACCTTAATAGAATTTTTTTTGTACCAGGGATCAAACTCAGGACCTTTTACTTGTGAAGCAGGCATGGAGCCACTGAGCTGTATCCCCGGCCCAACTTTAACAGAATTTATTGGTGAATATTTCTAAACTTAACATATAATAAATGCCATCTTTTAAATTTTCATTTTGAATGGCTTTTGAGTGAGATTAAATTATAGTATTTTTATATTAACCTTATATTTGGTCAACACTAAATTCAATTATTTTTTTTTCAAGAGTGTGAGTAGAATTTACTATACAGCAAAAATATGGATATTTATACCTTCAAATGAGAAGGCAGGCAGTGGGATGTAGTCATCTGCCTCTAGTGCAAGTTTGAACATTTTCTTTATGCATACAAGAATTAATCATGGGGCTCGGGGAGGTTTGATGATTACGAATAATGTTCTTAGAGGTTACTTTGGAATTCCAAGATGTTTTCCTTGTTCTTTTCAGATGGTCAGTGTTTCTCAGGGGTGTTAAACATGTAAGAAACTGGGCGCTGGGATGTAGCTCAGTAGCACTGTGCCTGCCTTGCAAACACAAGGTCCTGAGTTTGATCCCCAGTACCAAAAAAAAAAAAAGGTAAGAAACTTACCAAAGAAATTCATGAAGGAAAAATGTCTAATCTAGATCAGTCTCAGTCAATGTGGAAGGGCTGTTAAAGAATGCTCCCCTTTCTGATATAATTGAGCATATTCCATGGCAACCAGGTATGCTCTGTGCCTTGTTTTGTAAATAGACTCCCCAGTACCATAATGTTACTGGGTTTTGGGAATGCTGGCAGTCTCTTTTTTTTTTTTTTTTTTTTGGTACCGGGGATTGAACTTGGGTCCTTGCGCTTGCGCAGCAGGCAGCGAAACTACTGAGCTAAATCCCAGGCCCTCTAGGTTCTTTCTGTCCTAAGCAAAGAATTGGTCAAGACGGGCCAGGCTAAATTCAGTTATTAATATTAATTTACATGTTTCTTATCCTTGTACGTTACTATGATCATAAAATAATACATCATATTTCTTTTTTTTTTTGAGACAAGCTCTTACTATGTAGTTCAGGCTGGCCTTGAACTTGAAGACATCCTCCTGCCTCAGCCTCCTGAGTGCTAGAATTACATTCATGCGGGTAACATATCTGGGTGCATCATATTTCTTTCTTTCCATTAAATATGTTTTATGTATTTTATGACAATATTGCAAGACCTCAAGCATAATTTCAGGTAGAAGTGGTGATTTGGAACATGCTTGTCTCATTCTTGATTTCAATATTAAACCAGAATATGTAATAATTCCTTTAGTAGTATGGAAATATACTTTTATGTAATTAAGACACTTTCATCCTACTCCCATTTTAGCAGTGGTTGCTTTGCCATTTTTTCTTTATAAATCATGGAAAGATGTTTAATTTTAGGATGTTTTCTAGTTTATGAGATTATTGTGTATTCCACATACTATTAGCATGAATGGTCATGATACAGCCTCTCTAAAAGTATCTCTTAATTTGGAATAGGAAATATGAATTTGGTAAAAGATGGAGAGTGGTGTATAAAGTTTGTCTCTAAAAATTACATTATAAGAGGGCTGGGGATTTAGCTCAGTGGCATTGTGCCTGCCTTGCAAGAGCAAGGTCCTAAGTTTGATCCCCAGCACTGCAAAAAAAAAAAAATTATATTATAAGGTATAGTTAGCAAAATATAGCTTGCTTCCTAAAATAAACTGAGTTTAAAAAAAAAAATGCAGAGCCTAGTCACACACACTTGTAATCCCAGCACTTGGGAAGCTGAGGCAGGAAAATTGCTGTGAATTCAAGGCTAGCCTGGACTACATAGCGAGTTCAAGGCCAGCCTGAAGTACATAGTGAAACCCTGTCTCAACAAAACAAAAACAAGTAATTACTCTAAACTTTTTGGTATGACATTTGTATGGCAGAAGGTAGGGAAAATATCTGACAAAAATTCAAGAGCCTTATTCTTCAGTGAAATTTCTAGGGAGTCCCCTGATCTGAGGCATGTTGTGATACTCCTTTTAAAGTAAAGGATAAGTTGTTCTATGTGGCTCTTCTGGCTACAACCAAAAAGAGTCACAATTCCTAGTGGGTCTGTTTGGAATCTGGAAGGCATACACTCCTAATTTGCATATATTATACTAGAAAACACAACAATAAGACCATTGAACTGGAAGTTAAGACTGACATCTGGACACTTGCTACATGGACTCCATATTCCTCTGAATCAGAAGGCAAAGAAGGGAGTTAATGTGCAGGTTGGGTTGATTGATCTGACTACAAATGGGAAATCAGGCTGCTACTCAACAGGGGAAGTAAGGAAGAGCATGTCTAGAATACAGGCAATCTCTTAGGGTATCTCTTGGTATTACCATGCTTTGTGATTGAGGTCAATGGAAAACTAACAGCCCAATCCAAGCAGGTCTACTAATGATCCAGACTCATCAGGAATGAAGATTGGAGTCACTTTACCAAGTAAAGAACCATGAGCAGGTGACCTCTTTTCTGAAGTCAAAAGGAATACAAAGGGGCAGTGGAATAGGTAGTTACAATGAACAGCTATGACCATGTGGGCAGTTATGGAAATAAGAACTGTAGCTATCATGAGTATTCCTCTTTATTTTGTTATAAATATGTATGTATATATACCCATTTATCTTATATAGATGTACACTTGTATAATATTAAGCACATATTATTGTTTCCCTCTCATATTCCCCTATCATGTAACATAAGATGTATTGATTTATCATGCTATTGAAGTATTGCTAATTTTACATCAGAATATTATGTTATATCAAGGAGAACAAACATCAGTCAAAGACTTTTCCTCCTTTTTGAGGAGAAAGGAGTGTGCTGTTGATTATGTGCAGGATACTTATATCAAATTAGACAGGATTATGACTTGTTATTGTCTTTATTTGGAGATTAAGTGTGGTTTAAGGAGATATATATGAGTGCCAAGTTGACAAAGAGTAGATTTGTAATGGCCAATTTTATGTGTCAACCTAATTGGGACAGGCAGTGCCCGGATAACTGGTTAAACATCATTCTGGGTGCATTTTCAGGGGTGTTTCTGAATAAGATTAACATTTGAATCAGTAGACAGAGTAAAACAGATTTCTCTCCCCAGTGTGTGAGGACCGGTGCTCATCCAATCCACTGAAAGTCTCAACAGAACAAAAAGTGGGGTAGGGGAGAACTCACGCTGCCTCTTTTAAGTTGGGATATGGATCTTCTGTTGCACTAGGTCTAGAAGGTACACCATTGATTTTCCTGTTTCTCATGCCACTGCATTTGGACTGAAATTTAAACCACTGATTCTCCTGTTTCTCAGGCCTTTGAACTCAGACTTAGAACCATCAACTCTCCAGGGTCTCCAGCTTATAGGTACTGCAGATTATAGAACTTCAGCCTCTATAATTGCATAAGTCAAATTCTTATATTTCTTTCACATACATACACGTACACAAATGGGTTTGTGTTATATTTAACACTTTTTTTGGACAAACCCAAGGTTACTAAAAGCTTCTATGTTTTCTTCTAGCAGCTTTACAATTTGAACCATATATATATATATAAAAATCCTTTATTATTTATTTATGTTTCGTTTTTCAAGATAGGGTCTTGCTGTATAGTTCAGGCTGGTCTTGAACTCACTACGTAGCCCAGACTGGCCTCAAACTTGGGGCAATCCCTCTGCCTCAGCCTCCCAAGTCCCAGGATTATAGGTGTGCACCACCACACCTGATTGTTTATAATCCATTTGAACATTTTGAGATAATTTTTGTACATGTTGTGAGGTAAATACCAAGGTGTTTTATTTTGCATATTGCTCCATTGAAAAGTTTATCCTTTGTCTTATTTTGGAATGATTGTGTGTGGGTGGGGGTGCTGGCAGGTGAACACAGGGCCTCATACATCCTAGACAAGGGCTCTAACACTGAGCTATATCCTCAGCCCCCTTTTTCATATTTAAATTACGTTGCCACCTTTGCTGAAATTCAGCTGACCATATACCTATAGTTCTATTTCTTGACTTTATTCTATCTATTGGTCTGTTTACCAATATTCACTTCAATAGTACACTGCCTTGATTTATGTAGTTTTATATCTCATGAAATCAGGCAGTATGTCTTCCAACTTTGTTCTTTATCAAGTTATTCTGTTTATTCTAGATTCTTCACATTTTCCATATACTTTATAGCATCAGCTTGTCATTTTTTTTTCTTTTTTAAAGACAGAGTCTTGCTATATATTGCCCAGGTTGGCTTCAAACTCTCCATTCTCAGCTGGGGCTACAGGCATGTGTCACCACATCTAGTTTACCTTGTTGTTTTCTTAACAGTAGCCTATTAGGACTTTGACTGGATTGTGTTGAATCTTATGTATTGGTTTACTGATCCCTGGTACTAGGGGGAGAAAAAAAAGAATAGGATCTGTCCATAGTCTCAAAGTACTTTCCCATAAAATACTCATTAGTTAAAAAGGGAAAAAGAAATTTTAGAGGCTAGGGAAATAGCTCAGTGGTAGAACACTTGACTAGCATGTGCAAGGCCCTGGGTTTAATCCTTAACACCACAAAATAACCAAATAATTTTATAGTAGAAAAACCTGGTAGACACTGCCATAATCAATAGACCAAAGTTAACATTACCAGTATCATGTTGGTGCTCAACAAACTTTAGATTTTAGGGTATTTCAGGATTAGAGATGCTCAACCTATACTTATGATGAAGTGCTCTAATAAATATATATACAGCCACACAGAAGGTACAAAAAAACTGTAGAAGGATTTTTTTTTTTTTTTTTTTTAGTATTGGGGATTAAACCTAGGGCCTCATATATGCCAGGCAAATATTCCATCACTGACCTACACCCTCGGCCCTTTTTATTTTTTTAATCTGGAAATAAGGTCTTGATAAATTACTCAGCCTGGCCTAGAATCTGCAATCCTGACTCAGCTTCCTTTTTTGGGGGGCGGGTACTGGTATTAAACTCAGGACCTTGTACTTATGGGCAGGCGCAATACCTCCGAGCTAAATCCCAGCTCTGACTCAGCTTCTTGAGTAGCTGGGATTACAGGCATGTTCCACCATGCCTGGCTAAAATTAGGCTTTTTTGTTTTGTTTTTTTTGAGACAGAG